GCTTGTGTTCAGCTCTTCAAAGTATTGGTCGACTGATATGGGTTTTCAGTGGTTGATGCTGATATTTAGAAAGCAGGGCTGTCATGGCCGATATATAATGCTCTGATTGGTTGTTTTCCTTCAGACGAGGGCTATGCGATTCTTAAATCCATTTAAGCAGCTAGAACCAGAGGAACCTAATTGTTTTCAGCAGGTTTGGATCTGTCTCATGTTTGCATTAACTGTCAGTCCGAGTATAGTTGGAAGAGTTTTCCAGTTGGAATATTGCCAAAGAACGTAAGGGTTTTTATAAAAGTTACCTTTTGCAGCTTAAATGCACAGCCCGTATAGCAGCAACACCCCTTGTTTCCTGTCTGCCTCTCATTGATTTGCATGGACGTTTTGGGCTGCGCTTTGCTCACAACATGCATGTACTTATGCTCTCCAATCCTTGGCTTTAATGCTTAATTTTATCAACATAAATGCAATACAAAGACATCTCAGAATTTAAACAATATAATTGATGCAGATATGATTGATAATGAAAATGTTCCATTTGGAATGCTGACGCTCGCTGCTCAGAATCAAGCCTTCTTTCACCTATATTTCTGTCCATCTGTCTGTCTGTCTGTCTATCTGTCTGTCTCAGATCCAGTGATGGTCTACTGTAGAAACCAGAGTATGTGGCTTCAGCTGCCATCTCCACCCCTCCTAACAACTCCTTGACACTCTGGATGAACCCCAGACCCAGCGCTTGCCCTCTGACCTTAAATGTAATTAAGGTCAGACTCCCTCATTCCCGCTGTAATGGACAATCACAGCCTGCTGTCCCTCACTGTGGCCTTGCTGGGTTTTCTGAGCCCATGTCTGACAAGGCTGACTCCCAGAGTCTCCTTCCCTATGGGTAAGTAGAGACTTTAAGGATCACACTAGTTTTGTTGTCCTTTATCCAGCTGATAAACCCAAAGGAAGCAGTCGGCAGTTAAGTGTGAGGAGAAAGCCATAGTTACCAGTGCAGGTTTCAAATGGGCTTCCAGGGCTTTTCCAAGCAAATATTGATATATGTGATTGTTTGCGATTAAATCGGCCTATTAATATTTCTGCCTCCCTCTTGCCACCCCATGAATGTTTCCCTAGATCTGCCCCTGCGATACGATGGTGAATTTCCATTATGGGCATAATCATGAATATCCTCACGAGTGAATTGAAAAAGCTGTCTAGCTCAGTAATGTACAGTCCTATATTAATTTCCTTATTTTATTTTGTATGTCCGGATGGAAATACTGTGGTTTCCAAACTAAAGGACAGGGAGCTCCTGTGCTACCAGTGTAAACACCCACACTCCCTCTGTGCTCTGAGCACCCAGCCCTGGGCATTCAGGGCAGTATGGCTAAGCTAACTAGCTAACAGCAACTACATTTGACAACCGTTACTTTACTGTCCATCAGGAAACTTATTATAATATTCTATAATGCAAGAATATGTGTATAGGGCACAGTGTGGAAAAGACGGAGGCACCATTAACCCCATTACAACTCAGTGTAGCTCAATTGACTTTTACTTTGTTATTTTAAGGTAGAAAACAATTACACAATAGAGATTTGACTACATATAAGGTTAAGTGACTCAGTATGTTTCAGACTCTGTATGTTTTAAGCTCTAAGAGTTTAACTATTTGGACAATGCCTAATGAGATATTCAGGGCTGTTTGCTGTTTGAGCATCGAATGCTGTGAGCAGATTAGAAAATTGCAGCCTGCATATATCTGGATGACTTTAATTGTCTGTGGAAAATGCCTAATCCCAGTGTTGACTGCTGTGAAACAACAGGTAGCCCCGGGAGACATCTCACCCACTTTAGTAGCCATGATGTCAGCAACACCACCACACTGCTGCTCAGTGAGGATGGAGACATGCTGTATGTCGGAGCCCGGGATGCTGTGTTGGCGCTGGATGTTAGCCACAAGGACGCCATCATACTTAGGAGCAAGGTGGGGGAGCGACCACTGGTGGGAGGTGCAGTCTCAACATAGACTGAGATAGTCACCAATATTTAAGTTCTAATCACTGTCCCTACAAGACAAACTGGAAAATGCAAAAATGTGTGATGAAAATTGAAAAAAAGTGTGTGATAAGATAAGGTGGGTAGCATCCATTCATACCAATATAATCTCACAGAAACTTTAAAAATAGATGAATAAAATCAAGAAGTGTTTGATTTAGCTAACTACAGCTCTTTAATGGAATATGTCAATGTTTGTGTGTTCTTGTGGTTAAGGTGGATGTTAATCTCAGCTGCTCTGATGAGTTTGACTCTCCTCTATTCTTTCAGCTGGACTGGAGCCCTTCAGAGAAAGACCTTGAACAGTGTTCCATGAAAGGCAAGAAAATGGCAAGTAGTTGATTCGTGCATATGTACCACACATACTGTGAACTGGTTAAACTCCAAAGTTCAACATGTTTCCTCTTGACAAACAAGACAAGGCGGTCAGTAACAGCTACTGTTTACATTTCCTTCAATGAGCAGAGGAAACAGTTGATTTTAGACTGACTAATTTCAAAGTTTAATGAGCAAAGCGTAGAAGCAGAGTGTCTCCCAATCTTTCATTTAATGTGCATTCTTAGTGAGCACACTATGAGAAGATATCTTTCTTTCTGTTCTGTAAATATTAGTATTGAATCCAAAGGTCCTGGTTTAGGCACACGCTGCTTGCTGTACGTTTTACTTTTACTGAAACTTCTAACTTAATGTTCTTCGTGTTCTTTTTCTAGGCCGACTGTCCCAATTTCATTCGCGTGCTGCAGTTTTTGAACACCACCCACATCTATGGCTGTGGAACATTTGCCTTCAGTCCCCGCTGCACCTACATTGTAAGTTTGTTTACACAGGCATTTAAACTGATTGGTTAGTTTAAAGGTTATGTATAGAAAAATCACTTACCACTAGATGTCGCACTACAGCACCAGCATCTCAGACCAACACAATGGGCACTAAAGCTGACCAGACTGCATTGACAAAACCAGTAATCTTACCTAGCAGATAAAAACACCCTTCAAACTGGTACTAGTAGTTTTTTTTTTTCCAGATTGTTATTCTAAATGTCTGACAACATTATGGAAAGGATCCCTGCAGAGAACCAGAAAGAGCAGTTATATTGCTATCGCTCACCACCAGACTCCATAGACAAAAAATGATAACTTTACCTTGCATATCATCGTACCATTGTTACTGAATTGAAAGTGGACAGTAACAGAATAAAACTCACCAAAACTGTCTTTGTTGGTCTTTCCACTGTTCCAACAATCACCAACTCTGGTTTGGTCAAAATAAATCTTTAATTCATCGACGTAGCTGAGAAAAACAGCAGTTTCAGTCGATCTTCTCGGTTGTACACAAAGGGACTCGCATACAATAACATGCATGCGCAGCCAGACAGTATGATAACGCTCACTATATTTTATTTAAAATCAGTAGGTTGCATGTGACGTGATTTGGTTTGATTTCTCTGTTAATCTTTATTTAGTTTGACATCAGCTGGAACTTTTCTCTCTTTTCTGTCCAGAACTCAGAGACGTTAACAATGAGCCTCAAGCCTGATGAAGGAAGAGGTCGCTGCCCCTATGACCCCTACCAACGCAACACTGCTATCATCGTAGGTAAGGCGATAATGCCACAGCTGCTGGACTAAAATGTTAGCTGTGGCAAGCTGAGAGGAAACATTTGTGAGGAGGAATTTACTACTGAATCCAAACCAATAGCACCTGTGTGGAATAGAAAATAGAACCCTGTGTAAGTAGACCCGGTACTGCTACCTGCCCCAGTCTGCAGGAGTGAGTTAAAGAGCCACGTTTCTATCTTTCTGTTATTTCAACTTTTGTGCTCCTTAATCTATTGGTGACACTTTGACTCAAAGGTCAAAGGTCATTGTGACCTCAAAATGACCGTAGTCATGGCTCAAGAACTGATGCAGTAATTAAGGTAGAATTTCACACAGATATTTAATTGGATACAACAATGAAGATATTTTTTTACCCAAAAGGCCAAAGGTCAACTTCACTGTGACATCATGATGTCCTGGAAAAAACTTTTTTGGCCATTATTCAACACCATAACTCAGGAACAAAAGGGGAGATTGTGGCCGTATTTCATCGTTGGTCGGACACTAAACTGGTGAGGTCGAAGGTCATCATCCATTCTGCATTTTAAGAATCACATGACTACAAACATTGTATTGCAGCATGCCCAGCTAATGGTTATCCTGTGAGTGAGTTTTACCTACAGCTCACAGAGA